GGAGAATGAATGCAAAGAAACACCAAAAAGTGACAGAGAATAAAATTAGAAGCAGACATCTGAGGAGACTGTAAGACATCTTTCAAACTAGGCATGGTGACAGACACCTGTAATCTTAGCAATGGGAAGGTTGGGGCGGGAAAATCATAAATTTGAGGGCAGCCTGGACTACATGAGGGACTTTGTCTCAAAAAAAAAAAAAAACCAAAAAAAACCCCAAAAGCAGTTCCTTTCAACCAAGAACTTAGTCTAAGCATAAAGGGCCTCAAATAATGTAGAGGGAGAAATATGGTCCCCCAGATAAAAAGGCTGTATTTTCACTGTGTACAAAGGCTCATGCCTATAATCCTAGGTACTCAGGAAGTGGAAATCAAGAGGATTACAGTTTGAGGACAGTCTGGGCAAAAAGTCTGTGAGACCCACAGGGTGTGGTATTAGTAGGAAGCTAAGGAAACACTAACAGGAGTGTGGTTCTAGAAGAGCCTAGGCACAAAAGTTTGAGAGACCCATTTCAACAGAAGACAGGAAGTATGATGATATGTACCTGTCATCCCGGCTGCAGTAGGAAGTATAACATGGGAGGACTGAAGGCCAAGTGTATACTCCGGGAAAAGGAAGACCAACTGAAAATAACTAGTGCAAAATGAGCTAGATACATGGCTTCGCAGTCAAATGCTTGCCTTGGAAGTGTGAGGATTTGAGTTCAAACCCCAGTACTGCTAAATAGTCTTATTTCTAGATATTTTCACCCTTAGAAAGGATTTAATAGAGAATAGAATGACTTAAAGTTCCACAAATACGGGGCTGGGAAGTTGGCTCAGTGGTAGAGCGCTTGCCTTGCATGCCTGAGGCCCTGGGTTCGATTCCTCAGCACCACATAAGCAAAGCCGGAAGTGGTGCTGTGGCTCAAGTGGTAGAGCGCTAGCCTTGAGCTGAAGAGCTGAGGGACAGCGCCCAGGCCCAGAGTTCAGGCCCCACGACCGGACCCAAAAAAAAAAAAAAAAAGTTCCACAAATACCTTAGAATGAAAAAGTAACAGAACTTTAACACCTTTGTAAAGTGACTGGGGAACTCAAATTCTCAAAACATCTTAGTGATACAATAACAAAGCAACAATTTTGGTATTTCATTAGTTATTTTGCTTAATACTCATGCTAGATATGGTGTCTGTCCATGATTTTCTAACTCCTGTCCTGTTGCTTTTAGCCAGAGAGATGTTCAACACTTTCTGTCATTAGAGTAGGGGAGTTGTAAAAGATTAGCTTAAGGAGTATGAATCAGCCTACAATATAATGAAATTATTAGGAATAATGACCAAACGATGAATTGAAGGTAGTCAGAGTCTAGGGCAAGAACTAGGAAACTGGCTTGAGTACCTCCAACATAAATGAGCCTGACTTTGGATTAGTATCAGAAGCAGGTAAGATAAATTTGACATTTCCCTAATTGCCTTACAACTAAAGTTTTGGTGTGGGCTAGTCAAGTAGTATCTTCGGTTAGGTATACCTGTGAGGGATTTTTAACAAATAGAGACCATTTTGTGCTCCTGGTCTCTGTTTCTTTTCTCCCCCCCCCCCATCACTGTGGTTTTTTGGCATTATAACCTTAATAGAGCTTGATCCTCTCAACTTTTCAACAATAATCTAATCACTAATCCCCCTCCCCCCTCAATAAATCTGTTCTGTTTCTGGGAGGTAGAAACGTTTCTGTTTTCTGCATTAGGGTGTATGGTTGTATTAATATTTAGTGTCTATAAATAGGGCTGATTTAGCAAAACTTGATGTTTGTTGCACTGGCTGTGTAGTCAAGTAATATTTCTCAAGCCAACGGAAAACAATAAAGCGACGAGGGGCTAGCTAGAGTAGGAATTATTACCTTCCATGAGCCAAAGATCAAAGGAAAGAAGTAGTTTTACTGAACCTTATTAGAGTTGAAGCAAAAAAGAAAATATCTCAATGAAAGTTCTTGCTTTACCTAGAGGAAAGTAGCCACATTTAGAATGGGAAGAAACAATCAGGATAAACACCCAGATGAATCTGAGGCATACACGCAGAAAAACATTGCCAATAATAACACCAATCTCTCACTCATATACCAGGTTATTAAATAAGACATGGACTAAAGAAGAAATCAAAATGGAACTCAGAAAACTGCAAGACAAATACATTCCAGAGTTCATAGCTAGGATTACAGGCATGAGCACGCACACACGCACACACACACACACACACACACACACACACACACACACACGAACTGTGATCCTCAGATCTCAGCCTCCAGAATAGCTAGGATTACAGGCATGAGCACACACACACACACACACACACACACACACACACACACACATGAACTGTGATCCTCAGCTCTCAGCCTCTAGCTAGGATTACAGGCATGAGCCACCAGTGCCCAGCTCATTTATACTTTTATAAATTATTGTCAGTATTTAAGTTCTTAAGTCATGAAGCTAGAGAAAAACACAGCTAAATAAACACAAAAGAAGAAATACATAAAAGTAGAAAAATTCAAAAGTTAAAAACCATGGAGCTAATAAAATCAATTATTTATCTGGTAAATTGAAAGTCTGGACAAATCTATACAAGATTAAAAAAAAAGATAATAATAAAAAGGCACAAGCCAGGCACCTGTGGCTCAAGCCTATAATCTAGCTAGCTACTTAACAGGCTAAGATCTGAGGTTTGTGATTTGAAGCCAGCCTGGGCAGATAATCCAAGAGACTCTTATCTCTTATTAACCAGCATAAAGCAAGAAACAGAGGTGTGCCTCTGGTGATAGAGTAGTAGCCTTGAACAAAAAAACCAAGCTACAGCATGAGGCTTTGAATTTAAGTTTCCATACTGACACCAAAACAAACAACACTCCCAAACTAAGAAAGCACAAATACATGCAGTATGTAATCAGATCTAATCAATGAGACTAAAAACTAAGAGGCCACTAAGAACAGTTTATGCAAATAATTTTGAAAACCTAGACAGAGAATAATATAGGAAATATTTATTGAATGCTTATAATGTGCTATTTGTCTGAGTAATGTATTTATATTAAATTATTTAATAGTCACAACTACTGAGATACTGGTATGTCTACTTACAAATTAAAAAACCTAAAAAAAAATAACACAAGTTAAAAAATCTGAAGCGTAGAAAAATTATGTAACTCACCCAAAGTCACATTAATACATAGTTAAGCTAGGGTTTCTTATATGGTCCAGCTCCAGAGCCCATGCTGCTTTTCAGAATAAAAAAAAATTTAGAGGGGCTGGGAATATGTTTTAGTGTAGAGTGCTGGCCTAGCATGTATGAAACCCCTGGGTTCGATTCCTGTGTACCACATAAACAGAAAAAGCCAAAAGTGGTGCTGTGGCTCAAATGGTAGAGTGCTAGCCTTGAGCAAAAGAAGCTCAAAGACAGTGCCCAGGCCCTGACTGGCAAAAAAACAAAAAACAAAACCCAAACCCAAACCCAAACCCCCCACAAAAACCACCACCACCAACAAAAACCCATACAACATAGAGTTAAGGACAGCTATCTTTCAGTGGTGGGAAAATGTGTAATTTTAATTTTCAGTTTTATTTTTCATAATAAAATGTTTTTGATCACTCAGTACTGTTATATTTAGAATCAAAGAAAATAACAAAATACAAACACCCAATTTCCCTTATCCTAAAATTCTGAGCAATCTAGAATTGTTTCTCTTTTAACTTCCATATTCAATCTGTAACCATTTCCTTGATTTTACCTTAGAAATGTCTGTTCAAATTATTATTTCATTAATTTTTCTCTTATTTCCACAATTCAGGTCCTTGTTTTTTCTAATGAACTGCTGACATCCAGGCTATTACAGCAAAATGATCACAATTTTCCCCCACTAATTCTATGCTGAGTCTCTTTACATGGCGACCATCCACACTCCAGCCCCTAAAGATGCACACCAGGTACACTCTCATTTCCTATTCTTGGCATACTCAAAGCTCTTGTTCTCTAATACATTTCCCCCTTCCATCTTTCCATTTGGATTTATAGATATCATTTATTGGGTATAGCCTTTGAAGGTGGCAAGAACAGTCTTTTCCAAATTATGTATTTCAACACTTAATGTTCTGTACTGAAAAGTACCTCCCTATCCTGTTGTATAGCATGAGACATTTCTATTACAATTTTTTGAAATCTAGCTGGATTAAAGTATCACATATACAACACACACAATACATGCAATACCAATCTACCTACCTACGTACACGCATGCGTACATACATACATGGGTGTGAGTTTGGAACTGTCTGCTGAGGAGAAAATGGCATAAAAAAACACTTGATTTTTTTTTTTATTCAAGATGGCAGAGAACGTCTTAAAATAGTCCTACACAAAAGCACCCTTACCCAGAGCTTTGATTCAGAAGTGACTACACCTAGTGCAAGAGCAAAGGACAAAAGGGTACAAGCTAGATCCAAGGATGCCCGGGTCCTAACCATCCATATCCGAAATCACACTTATGGACTTTACACTCCGTTACAAAACTGGCACACCTGCTGCCTTCATTCCAAAGACCACGCCTTGACGACGACGGTGACCTCTCCTCACACACCCCCAAAAAACCGAGGACGAAATCGAGGAAGGCTAAATTGAACTAAGGGAGTATCTAGAACGCACGTTCCGGCCCCGCCCCAGAGAGATGCATTCTCGGGGTACAGCCATCCCAGCGCAGGCATGGACGGGGCTCCCGCCCAAAGGCCGGGCCACCAAGCCACCAGTGGGAATTCGGGGCGGGCCTCGGGCAGAGGCAGGCAGCGGCCGGCAGCGGCCCAGACCCCTCAGCATACACCTGTCAGGCGGCAGCCAACATTAGGCCCGGAAATCACGGGAGGTTCGGTGGATCAGGCCCGCGCATCAGCCAGTGCCCTAACCCAGCCAACTCGCCTTCCGTGGTGTCCTTTATTACAGACAAAGGCGATCCACACTCACCGCCATTTTTCCCCTTACCTCAAAAACCACCTCTTCGTCGAACTCCGGTGTCATCCTTCTCCGCCATGCCACCCGCCTCGGCACGATGGGAAATGAAGGCAGGAGGGCAGGCGGCACCAAGATTTCGCCTTCGGTGGGTCCCACGGTTCTTAGCAACTACAACTCCCGGCATGCCTGGAGGCCCACGCCCCTTTCCCATCTGTTTATTGGAGCAGAAGGTGAGGTGGCGGCAGCCGGGGGGCGGGGATAGGAGGCAACTCTCGTCTTCTGATTGGAGGAGGCGAAGGCTTTTGTCTGCCTTTTTCGGCCGCGACTAGTAGGGGGCGCCCCAAGCACAGGTTTGTATTTCACTTTATTTATTTATATTTACTCATTTACCATTTATTTATTTATTTATTTCTTGTGAGGAGGAGCTGGAGCGGTGCGCGCTCTGGGCGAAGCGGCGGCGAAGTGAGCTCGCGGCCGCGCGCCCGGCGGTGGGACCTGAGCTCAGCCGGGCGGCGCTCGTGCTCGTCCGCCTGCGGGGTTTGGAGACTCCCACCCGGGGAGCGCGGCTGGGTCGCCGGAGCCGGCTGCGTCCTTTGTGCGGCGCTCCGGCGGCGCAGCTGCGGGACGGGGACGGCATGTGGACGCCGTGGGGGTTTCTCTCCAATGCCCAAACTCTGGAAAGAGCGCTCTGCGAGGCGAGCATGGTGTGAGGGGCGCGCGCCGGGGACGCGCACCACACGGGGCAGTCATGACTTCGGCCGCCGCGGGTAAGGGGTCGCGCTTCGGACCGCGTCGGGAAAGTCGGTGGCGAGCGCGGAGGGGGGCTGGGGCTCGGGAGCAACTTTCTTTTCGGGGAGAGGGTGGGCGCCCCATCTTTCCCCAGCACCTCGACAGAGCCGATGGGCTTTGCTGCTGGACGTTCTTCTCCGTGTTGGAGGTCTGGGGACCTCCCTTCCAAGGGGAGAATCCTGGGCTGTGGGGAGCGGGTGGGGCGCTTTCCTGCAGGTAAAGAAAGGCACGAGTAGAAAAAACCAACCCCCCCCCCTCCGCAAAACACACTTGGTTCCTCTCCTACTGTGAGAGCGACTTGGCGGCCGCGCGCGCGGACAGCGGAGACTCCCGGGCTAAGAAATCATTTATTCTAGGACCGGGCAGTGTTGTGGCCCGAGCGGCACCCGCAGGGTCTTTCTACCGTGGCCCGCAACGCTCCCCGCCGTGAAAAGGGGTGTGAACATTGCTATTCCGAACATTGTTACCTGAGTCGTGCAGGGGTAGGGTTTTTGTTTTGTTGTTTTTTGTTTTTGCTCGTCTACACCCAATCCCACTCCCTGCCCCCTTTTCAGCTTCTACCTGACTAGTGGAAACAAAGCCTTATTTTCCATCTGGCTACGATAGACATCTTCCTCATCCAAATGACCAAGCCTCTAACTTACTACTTTGGTGTCGGTTTTTGAGCAAGTCTAGTGTGGTGGAATGTTCTTAGGGAACGAGTTTTGCTTTCTAAAATTATCCAAGTTATAGGCACTTCCTAAGGATATAAGTTACATGTTAAACCAGAACTTAACAATATATCGTTTTTGAATGGCTTTTTTTTGGGGGGGGGTGGAGGGGGGCAGGTTGAAAGAAATGTTGATTCGAAAATTTCTGGTAAAATAGTTTAAAGCATTTCCTCCAAGTTGCACTTGTAGTCAGCCTGTAAAATATGAGACTACATTTTCCTTGCTTTTCTTGATGTTTGTTTAAAATTTCTGCAAGTCGAAACTGTCAAAAAGTAAGCACTCTGAATGTTCTGAGTATTATTTCTAAAGTTTCAGTGTTACTCAGAGGTTGCATTGCTAAGGATAAGCAGATCACAAGTTATCAGGCAAGAAGTTAGCCAAGAGAAATCAGAAAGCAAGAAGTGATACTTTCCTGTAGAGATGGTGTGGGTCTTTTTTTTTTTTTTTTTTGTCGGTCGTGGGGCTTGAACTCTGGGCCTGGGCGCTATCCCTCAGCTCTTCAGGTCAAGGCTAGCGCTCTACCACTTGAGCTACAGCGCCACTTCCGGTTTTCTAGTGGTTTATTGGAGATAGGAGTCTCACAGTCTCTCCTGCCCGGGCTGGCTTTGAACCGCGATCCTCAGATCTCAGCCTCCTGAGTAGCTAGGATTACAGGCGTGAGCCACCAGCGCCCGGCGGGTCTTTTCTTTTTGAAGTTATGTGTATGTATTTGATAGACGTCATCATGCACTATTGTAGTTATTTTCAAACTCTTTTCTTCACTACAGGGAGGCTTTCCACTTGCATAATGAATTATTTTCATATTTCATTATTTTCATCCTAAGTTTCTGTGCCTCATCGTTCACATTTTCTTTGTTACTGAACCAATATAATAATTTAAAATGAAATTAGAAATTTTAAAGTCTTTTTAGTCAATTATTATAGTTCTTCCCTTCTTTAGGTGTTAGATGTACTTAAACTATCCATACTTCATATGGAGCATTCAGTTCTAGCCTTAACACTTTATGATGGACAGGTTACAGAAGCATATATGTAAACTTGACTGTTTGGGCCCAGGCTGCAAGCTTATGATTCATTCAGATTACCATAGAATAATGTAAGCTATTTTATATTTTATCAACTTTACAATTTAAAAAATCCACAGACATTTTTGTGGTGTTTAAAAGAAGGACATTTCCTGTGTCTAGCTAAGTTTTTTTTTTTTTAAAGGCATGCCTTCCAGAAAGCTTTAACTACTTTTTTGCTCTCCTATCTGATAAAATGTATTATAATTCTTTCTGTGTCCAAATGGGGAATATGGAAGGGGAGTGGTGTTTTACTTCCACCCTATTTCTATAAACCTATATATACCTTGTTCTTACAAGTTATCTATGATTAAATTTTGGTATAATAGTCCAATTTATTAAAATGGTGGGGAAAGGTATTTACAGTTGAGGAAGGAGATGTTTAAGTGTCATCTATTATGTTTGGGAAAGTTGCTTTAATGTAAGAAAATAAGAAGAATGTTGTAGAACATCTAAGTTATATCATTCCTGCAGAAGAGCTTGCTTTTTTTCCTTCCTCTGACTCTGAATGGGGCTCATAGTAGAGACTTAAGAATGATTCAAGTAGTACATGAAAAAGAAGTGATAATTATAGGACAGAATTTGAATTTGTGTGTGTAAGTGTGTTCCTGTACAGGTCACTTCCTCATTAGTGTCTGTGCTTTGCTTTTTGGCTGGTCCAACAGCCAAGAGGGTGTACATGTGAACCACAACCATCTGTGTGTAACAGATGACAAGTATGTTTATAATAGTAAAATGGTATGAGTGAGTACTTTACTTTCTTACCTTAAATTTCCCTGTGGCCAAACAGCTGTATAAACAAAAGATTTGCTACATTCCTGTAAAGACCTTATGAGTATGACTGTTGATACAGTTTAAGATCCAAAGGTGCTGGAATCATTTCCCAACAGCTTCCATGTACATCAAGAATTTAATATTGACGACCATAATATAATGGCTCCTGCTATTTGGATGTTGTGTCTCTTGCAAAGTAGAGCCATTAAAAACTAATGATAATGAAAAAGGATAGAAATTGCTGTAGTAGTAACTTGATAAACACTTGTTCTATTAGTCACTAAGTATATGTAAATATTAGAATAATATCATTACATAGTTTATCAAATGTTCATTAATATTTAATCCTTTTAAAATTGATTCTATTTCCTTTCTAAAATATTACTTGATATTCAATTGAATATTGAATTTTTAAAAAAGAAATTTTTGGTCACTAAGACATGAATATGTGTATATGATAGATGACTCTATGTGTGTGTGCGTGTGTGCGTGCGTGCGTGCGTGCGTCCGTGTGTGTGTGTGTGTGTGTGTGTGTGTGTGTGTTGGTCCTGGGGCTTGAACTCAGGGCCTGAGAGGTTTCACTGAGCTTTTTGTATTTAAGGCTAGTGCCACCATTCCACTTTTGGCTTTTTTGATGCTTGATTGGAAATAAGATTCTCACAGATGTTCCTCCCTGGGCTAGCTTTGAAGTGTGATCTTCAGATCTCAGCTTCCTCAATAGCTAGGATTAGAGGCGTAAGCCACCAGTACCTGAATATAGCGGATTATTCTTAAATCCTGTTTTTCGGTATTAGGATATGTCAGTGAAAGAGACAAAGTAGTTCCTATTCGGGAGTTGCCTTCTTGCCATGAACACAGTCATAGATACACTGAAGAATATTAGTACAGGACAGAGGCCACACATATCAGGGTTCTCCTGAAGCATCCCAACAGTTAAAATCTCATAGGAGTTGAAAGACTCCTGTAGGTTCTAGAGGGAAGCGAGGCAGGCAGCTCTGCACAAAGCTGCTCCCTCAGTTATGTTGCTGACCTCCTCCAATACATAGCTAATCTACAATGGCAAGCCCAAGTTCACAGTTCCCTATTTAATTCAGTGAGTATACATTAAGGAAAAGCTTTAGGAACATGCCACGCTGTATTTATTGAGAATCAACTTCATCTCAAATGTAGTTAACTTCTGTGACAGGAATTTGTCTCTCTTGGAAGCAGACTCAAAAGAACTGAAATTTTTTTTCTTTGTCAGTCATGGGGCTTGAACTCTGGGCGTGGGCACTGTCCCTCAGCTCTTTAGCTCAAGGCTAGCACTCTACCACTTGAGCCACAGCACCACTTCCAGCAGGGCCATAGTATCTCAAAAAGAACCCCAAAAAACAAAAAACCACAATTCAGAGAATGTGGCTTAGTAGTGGTAGAGTGCTTGCCTAGCATGCATGAAGCCCTGGGTTCATTCCTCAGTACCATATAAACAGAAAAAGCCAGAAGCGGTACTGTGGCTCAAAGTGGTAGAATGTTAGCCTTGAGCAAAAGAAGCTCAGGCACAGTGCCCAGGCCCCAAGTTCAAGCCTCAGGACTGGCCAAAAACAAGCAAACAACAAAAACAACTCATACAGTGCACAATTTTAGAAATGATTAAACTAAAAAGCAAATTTTAGAAGGATTAAACTAAAAAAGCAAAAACAAATTGATTAAATGACCCTGAACCTTCTGACATTGTCCTAACATTCATGAAGTAGAAGATTAATTATATGAGTTATGATTTTAAAAGTATATGTATATATTAATATATAATATTATTTGTCATTTTAACCTTTTTTAAATGTATAGTTCAGAAAAGATAATGCATTATTGTAGCTTCAGCCTTAGAACTCTTTTTATCTTCAAAATATTTTCCATATTTTTCAAAAATCCTAGATGTAGGACATTTTGAGAAAGATAGATATTAAATCAGCATGACAGTCCATCAGTTTGTATTGAGTCAAATGAGAGGTTGGAGTCCTAGGGCTTTCTGTGAAGACTTGACATGATAGGTTGAGACTTTAACTCAATTGACCAATACAGAAAGCTTTTTTCACTAGCCTTTGGTGGTTTTTGCAATTATTTTCAGCCTAAAAAGTTAAAACTATTACTGTGCTTCTTGAATAGCTAACTGGATATTGCCTAATTTGGAAATCTATGTAGTTTTGAATTGAATATGATGGTTATATAATAATGTCTGTGCACATAATATTAAAGAATTCTCTATTTGGGAGAAGGAAGTAGAGCACCCACTCTTACTCAGTTCTGTGTAATATTTTCCTGAATGTTGTGACTAATTTCCTTCTTCAAAAAGAAAATCATCATCCAATGATAGATAAAAGCCTCACTGTGTTTAAGTAAACAGTGTCCAATTGTCTTTTTGCATTTTTAATTATTATTATAAAGATGATGTACAGAGGGGTTATAGATAAATACGTCAGGAATTGAGTACATTTCTTTTGGTAAGGTCACTCCTTCCCTTACTGTATTCCAGTTTTTCCCTCTCTTTCCAATAATCTTTAACAACAGATATTTGAGACTTGTTTTCTAGTGAATTAGTAAATTTATCTAGTAAATTTATTTATTTTTTATTAAGTATTAGATTCTGTTGAAGGAACAAATATAACTAAGAAGTATAAGGTAAGACATTTGATCTCCAGTTCTCCATGGGAAAATATGATTCATAAGTGATAGTATAGCTGAAGGATAGCAAAGGAATACAGGTATAGAATTTATAAATATATAATTGTGTGTTTTTACATTACAGGTTTTTTTTTTTTTTGGTTGGTAGTGGGGCTTGAACTCAGAATGTTGTCCTGAGCTCTTTTGACTCAAGGCTAGTCCTGTACCACTTTGAGCCACAGTGCTCATGAATTTTCCTGTCCTGGCTGACATTGAATTGTGATTCTCATATCTCTCTCAGCCTCCTGAGTAGCTAGGATTACAGGCATGAGCCACCAGCACCAGGTACTTTATGGGCGTTTACTATAAAGGTGTCATCAAGTTCCTATAGGCTAGGACTAGGTCTACACAAATCTAGTATTGTATACTAGGCATTAATTAAATATGTCCTATGTAATTTTCAGGATTACTTCAATTGTGATTATCTTTTAGTGTATTAAAACAGTGGTTAGTAGCTGAATGTGCTGGTGCATGCCTTTAACCCAGCACTCAGGTGGCTGATTTCTGATTTCTGTATTTATTTTTAAGATTGTTTTAGTATTCACCCACACTGGTGGCTCATGCCTATAATCCTAGCTACTTTAGAGGCTGATATCTGTGGATGGCAGTTCAAAGCCAGCCCAGGTAGAAAAGTCTGTAACATTCTTATCTCCAGTTGGTCAGCAAAAATCCAGAAGTGGAGATGTGGCTCAAATGGTATAGTGCCAGCTTTAAATGAAAAAGCCAAGCAAGAGCCTAAGGCCCTGAGTTCAAGCTGTAGTGCTGACATACACAACAAGATTGTTTGGGGATTCTATCAAGAGGGATTCTTGGGCTGGGAACGTGGCTCAGTGGTAGAGTGCTTGCCTTACATGCATGAGGCCCTGGGTTCAATTCCTCAGCACCACATAAGCAGAAAAAGCTGGAAGTGGCACTGTGGCTCAAGTAGTAGAGCGCTAGCCTTGAGCTGAAGAGCTGAGGGACAGCACCCAGACCCAGGGTTTAGGCCCCATGACTGACAAAAAAAAGAGAGGGATTCTTGATAAAAGGCATTTAGATATTACTGTTTTATTTATCACCAGACAGAAGGATACTACTGCTTAGTAATATAAGAAACTTAAAGAATTGTATCCTGTGGGCAAATTCAGCTCTCAGCGCTAAGCAAATGACCTAAACAACTAGTATGCAGGTCACAGACAAAGTTAGTTGTTTCATTTAATATCAAAGCTGAAAGAAAAGCTGTGTTGGATAAAATAAGAAATGAATTCACAGGGCTGGGAAGATGGCATAGTGGTAGAGTGCTTGCCTTGCATGCATGAGGCCCTGGGTTCAATTCTTCAGCACCACATAAGCAGAAAAGCTGGAAGTGGTGCTATGGCTCAAGTGGTAGGGTGCTAGCCTTGAGCTGAAATGCTGAGGGACAGCTTCCAGGCCCAGAGTTCAGGCCCCACAACCAAACAACAAAAAAAGAAACGAACTCACAGTGCCTAAAGCTATATATACTGGAATTTATGTCAACTTAAGGAGTTTTCCAGAATGGTGACTATCATACAGTCTGTAGTGAAATTCAAATTTTCACATTATTAAAAACTGTCATGTAGTTTAATATATCCTCTTATGCTTTGGTTGTTTTAACATCGAATTATTTTCCCTTTCTAGAGATTAAGAAACCACCACTGGCCCCCAAGCCAAAGATTGTGGGGGCAAATAATCGGTCAGTTCCTCCTCCTGTTGCACCTAAACCTGACACTGTGATTGCTAGTGCTCCACAACGAATAAAGAAAACGAAACCAAAAATTGCACCCAAACCCAAAGTTCTGAAGAGCTCACTTGTTAATGACATTGGACAGCCTCCATCACGGAGATGCACTGTGAACCTGGAAGAGCAGAAACCAGAATTACCTGAAAGCAGGGACAACTTCAGTTGCAAAAATGAAGAGGAGCAGCTGGGCAATGATTCTGTTTTACCAGGGTATTCTTATTCTTCTGAGTGTACCAGGAAGCCTGGAAGTAGAGAGAATGTGTATGTAAAGCAGCTTGTTTTGGAGCCTCTGAAAATGAAAGAAAAATTAGAAAATAGTAAATTCAACAAGCCCTCTTTGACTACTCAAAGTAGGAATAAATGGGATTCTTGTGAAAATTGCCGGAGCCCAAGTGGAGTATTAAAGGCCAGCGTCCTTGGAGAAAAGCTCAATGATGTTTCCACATATCAAACACCAACTTGTAGTTCTCCACAGAAGCACAGATCTACAGAAAACCCAGAAATGAATGGGGGCCACAATTCCAACAGACAGTGCAGAACTGAATTTTCAAATTTGTCCAGCTTGGAAAAAGTTCCTGCTCCTCAAAACTGCCATCCACAGCTTCCTGATTTGCAAAATCTTAAAACTTGTCAGGACGGCAGTGAAAAAAGCAATAGTTGTTTTCATTCATCTGAACTAGCTGCTCCAGAAAACGATAAAAGGAATGCTTTTCTATCTTCAGATGTAGTAAGCAAGAAAACAGAAGTTGAAGACTTTCCTCCCCTAAAAATTTCCTTAGTACCACATACCCTCAAATTTCCAACTCCCAAGCCCAGAAAGAATTTCACTGCTCGTCTGTTACGTCAGAAGTGTGTAGATACTCCTAGTGAAAGTACTGAAGAAGCTGAGGGTTCAAATAACAGCTCTTCCTGTTGTACTGAAAATAATTTGAAAAGCAGTAATGTCCATTTTCTTCATCAGAATGTTGTGACTATCCAGAAACAAATGGACAAAGAGAAGCCAGAAAATACAGGTGAATTGCATACTGACTGTAGCAGTGACAGCCCAGACATCATCGATTCACAGAAAGCCGTGTGGCATGCAACATCCTCCTTTGAAGAAATGGCACCTTCTTTAGATACAGATTCTAATGTGCCTGGTGACTGCGGGCCAGTAGATGGTTGTAGCATGTCACCTGCTGTGGACAAAGGGGCTGATTTTATAAGATGCAGTGCTCTGTCTTTGAGCCTGCCTACGCAGGTTAAATTAAAGTGCAGTGAACATCTGCCAGCTGCCTGTAACCTGGAAGTGACTGTCTCTCAATTGCAAAAGGGATGTATAAAGAAAGAAGAAAGTTCTTCAAGAATTGTCCCCAAGAAGCCTCAGAGACACAGCTTGCCTGCAGCAGGACTGCTTAAAAAGGCTGCCTCTGAGGAGCTTGTGGAGAAAGGTTCTTATCCTTCTAGTAGAGAAAAAAATCCGGAGAAAAGTCTAGAAAGCAATCACCTTCAGCATTTGGGTGCCCGGAACCATGGTATGCCATCATCATCCTATGATATGCCTGGCCAACCATCAGAAAAACCGGTGTGGAAATTACCTCATCCTATTTTACCCTTTTATGGGAACCCAGAATCCCTAAAGTCTATCATTGTCTCCTCAAATACTGAACCTTCCATTTCTTTGACCAAACCTAGAGCAAAATCATTATCTGCTGTGGATACGATCAAGTGCAGTAAGCCTTACAAAGAGTCTCCAAAGAAGAATTCTTTGAAAAAGTTGCTTAATATGAAATTGTCCATTAGTTTCTCGAAGAGTGACATTCAGAAATTTTGGTCCAAGAGTAGCCAGCTCAAAGATGCATTCCCAAGCAGCGTGTCTGGTAAGGAGCAAAAAGGGATTGACAGTGATTGGCCTAGCTTCATGGTGGGAGAAAAGAAGAGAAGTAAACCCACAAAGGCATATTCTGCAGATAACTGTAGCCCTGAAGCTCAAAAGAAGAAGAAATCCTGGAACCAGACAAGTGCAGCTAATGGTCTGAGAGCTGAGTCTTTGGATGACCAAATGCTGTCTAGGGAGTCATCACGTCAGGTGTCTAACAAATCTGTTATAAGCAGCTGTGCACCAGAGTATGAAAATGTACGCTATTATGAGGAAATACCAGAGTATGAAAACTTTCCATTTATTATGGCGATACAGAATTCTCTGGAGTTGGAATTGCAGAAGTCCAGCAGTGTGGAGGACACTGATACAAATGTGTATGAAGTAGAAGAACCATATGAAGCCACAGATGGCCAGGTGCAACTTGGATCCAGACCTCAGCATTCCAGGTAAACCACAGGTGTCAGGCATGGCACTTTTGCATGCATTCATTACAATTAACCTTCATCAGCTCTGTGAGATAGGAATGCTGGAGGGAAAAAGAAAAAACAAAAAACCCACTCAGAAAGGAACTGAGTTAGAAAACAGATTAGCCAGGCACTGGTGGTTTATACCTGTAATCCTAGCTACTCAGGAAGCAGAAATCCAATGGATAGAAGTTGAAGGCCAGTTTAGGCAGAAAATTCCAAAAGTCCCTATCTCCAAAATAACAGGCAAAAAAAGCTTTCTTGGAGATAGGGTTCAAGTGGCAGAAAGTAGTTGGAGTAAGCAAGCTGAGCAAGCGGGAGGCCCTCATTTCAATCTGAAACACCTGAAAAAAAAGAGAAAGCATAGATTAAATGGATTCTGTATGTAGCTTCTTTTTACCTTACAACAAGAAAGGATATTTGTACTGCAAGATTGGAGTAAACTTAGTAGCTAACTCAATGAAATTAAGTAGTAGCAAAGTAGGTATTATGCCTACCCTAAGGTCTGGAGCAGAAAAGTCTAAGGGCTTCCATGCACCAATTCAGAAATCATAGCGGGAAACTTTAGGAAGAAATGGATTAATTCATTAAGGTTTTTTTTTTCCTCCCATCATATAGAATATCTAAAGTTATTTGAAATCCAGCATTTACCTATGGTTCCTTTATCAAGTGAAAATTCATTTTGCAGAATGATTCCTCTGTTCAGGAATGATTTATTTTACTTGGTGAAGTTTAGTTACAGATCTCCTGTTGGCAAAGTGCAAGAAAAACATCATTGGTCTTTCTCACTTTTGTACTGTGCTTCCTACCTTTAGAATGCCTATTCCATTCCTCCTCTGAAGGTTTGCCCATCTTTAGTGGCCCAGCTTCACAGTCTGGCTCTATGAAGGTTCTATAGTTACCTAGTAGAAGTGTTCGCTTCTTGTTTTGAACTCCCAACTGTGTTGTGATACCCTGACAGCCTTTATCTCAGTCTGTTTTATATAATTACTGATTGGTGTGTAGGATGTTTTGCATTCAGTTTTAAGCTCTGTTGAAGAGTTCTCTTCATACTCTTTTACTATGCCTGAGGTCAGGCAAGGGGCATCATTAGATGAGAGATGAATGTAGAAGAGAATGAGTGAAAAAGAGATAAAAGTTCCAAGTCACAAAGAAATTGCATTTGAGGAGTTTTGTTTTTTTAACAAAAAAGCACGAAGATCCTTTTTGAAGTCTTAAGATTATTCTTAGACCACTAATTAATACCAAGGCTTTTTAGTACTCCAACCTTAAACTGTGACTTTTGTAGAGATACTAACAAATTCAGTACCTGGTGAGTGCTTAAAATGTTGGGGAGAGGGAATTAGTGTATAAACTGAATACATGAAATTGTCAAGCAAGTTTCTGATTAGCTTAATTTTCAGATGCTGTCTTTGTATTTTTCTTTACCAGTCATCCTCTTGCTTCTGCTTCGGTACTTTCTTCTTTTACATGTAAAAGGCTTCTTACCTCTTTTGCCCATCTTGTCTTATCTCTGACCCCACTTTATTTAGATCTCTCTCTTTTTTGGGGGGGGGGGTCAGTCATGGTGCTTGAACTCTAGGCCAGAGCTATGTCCCTCAGCTCTTCAGCTCAAGGCTAGCGCTCTATCACTTGAGCCACAGCACCACTTCTGGTTTTCTGGTGGTTTATTGGAAATAAGAATTTCAGGGCCTTTCTTGCTTGGGCTGGCTTTGAACTGCGATCCTCAGATCTCAGCCTCCTGAGTAGCTAGGATTACAGTTGCCCGGCTATTTAGATCTCTTTATTCCTAGAACATGCAAAAGCCTTTTTCTCTGTCAGCCACAGAGAATTGAAGTTATGCAACTTGTTTTTAAATTGTCTACTTTTACTTGTCTGATGTTCTGTCTGTGAAACAATTACATTGGTACTCTTAACTTTTGTATATTACTTGTGTATATGAATGTTATTAATACAGTTAGCTTCTTCAAGATATATTACTTTCCTTGGTTAGGATGAAACTTTTTCTTAAAATTGGAGGATTGAGGTTTGAAGCCAGCCTGGGCAGGAAGGCCTGTAAGACTTATCTCCAGTTAACGACTAGAAAGCCAGAAGTGAAGCACTAGCCTTGAACAACAACAACAACAGTAAAAAAGGGACCAGTGTCCTAGGACCAACCACACACATACACACAAATTGGAGGTTTGGCCTTTGGGATACATTTCCTGTTGGTGCTGGGGTTCAAATCCTCAAGGGCTTATCACTATCTCTGGAACTTGTTCTAGTTTCCTTCTTGCACAATTAGGGCTCAACTGCTGGCCTGAGGGAGTCCAGGTTGGAAGGGTGAGTGTGCACAGCCAGTAACTGCAAGTCCAGCTGCAACTACAGACATTCAGAAGCACTTCTCTTTCTAGAGGAGCTTAGGAAAGGTTGCAGTCTGTTGAAAAGTTGGCCAGTGCCTGCTTTTGAATTTTGTCTTCTAGAAATTTTTGTTTAGGTGTGGAGCAGGAAGCCGCAAATAAGCTTTGAGATGTATAAAATGTGCTATCTGAGTACAATGCCCTCCTCAATCACTGAGTTAGACTCAAAGTATTGTCTGGGAGGGACTTTTTTTTTTAAAGAACAAAAAAGCAAAAACAGGATCTCATTGTAACATAGAGAGGCTGGAACTCTTGATCTTCCTGCCTCAGACAGTGTTGGGATTATAGGTATGCACCACCATGCCCTGCTAGGCTGTTCCTTTTGTGAGCAACATTAAATTGTCAGAGAAAGCAAAATGCAGGCCTGCGTGAGGTGGCATTTGGAAACCTTAATATTAGGTAGGTAACTGAGAAGCAGAGTGTACATTTCAGGTAGCTGAGAGGATCCATGTAAAAATCTGTTGAAAATGTAGACTGTGCCTTTGGGTAATTAATTCAACATCCAAAAACCTCCTGGGTTCTAAAATGATAGGAAAAAAATGCAAGATTATTCTGTAAAGATTTTTCTGGTGAAGGCAATTGAAAAATGTTTTATGACATCTCATCCCTCAGGGAAGAGACGCTGAGCCCGTGGGCACTGGGTTGGAAACTCACTAGCGTTAGAGCCTGGATGTTTTCAGGATAAGCAAACAAAATATTTAGCAAGTTTTGAGAGTAGCCAATATAATCATCTTCTTTAGAATGCGGGTGTTTAATAAATCCAACAGCTGAACATTTTACAAATGTATAACAACATACTTGTCATTTGTCAGGAAGTAATGGTAGGCAGACCTCACTTCTAAATCGGATTGCGTTCTAAAGCACGTGACAGTTGGGGACTCCGTGTAGGTCTCTAATGAACAGTTTTAGAAATAGAGGTCCTAATTTAGCTTCCAAATCTTATTAACCTTTACTATCTGGGCCTCCCCTTCCTGACTCAGGGTGAATTTGCTGGGCTTTTCTATGAGGTCCTGTGTAATACAAGCTGGGGCTGAGCCTGCCTTACTTGGCCAGGGTGGGGCCTACCACCTAGAATCCTGGAGGAGCAGATCCTCAGGGCTAAGGCTTGTGCAATGGGTGAGGTGGCTGTGGAAGAATGAGGAAATTGGGGGTTGGGCTTGCTGTGAGGAAGAGGCTTTGAGACTTGGAGTGATAAGGAAAAGGGAAGGGTGGGGTGGCTGGAAGATACTAGGCCGAGGCTTTCTTTACCTCCTTGGGTGGGGTGGCTGGAAGATACTAGGCCGAGGCTTTCTTTACCTCCTTGTATAATTCCTCTCACTCATTCCTCTTCCTTCTCCTTTGCTTATTACATAGTTTTATGAACCCAGGAATGAATTTCTAGACTGGAGAGGGAACTATCCTTGTAGGGAGAGGCACTCACCCAGAAGCCCTAGGGTTGGGAAAGGGTGGACAGCCGAATCTGCCAGAGAAGAAGGGCTAAAGGGAAATGGAAGGGACTTGTGTGCCCAGATAGATCATTGTTTGCTCACTGTGCCGGCTTCGCAAACACAGTTTTGTTATAATTCACATTGTGGGCTTTTCCAGCGTATTCCAGTGTGTGAATTATAATTTGAGACCTCTTCTCTAAAATATATCAGACGTCATAAACCTGAAGCAAGCAGGCAGCAGGCCTTTCTATTTTGCTGTGATACAGCTGTGAGTTTTCATTTACTGCTACTTTTGTTCAAGAGGTTTGATTTTCATAAGGAAGTTCATTTGAAAACAAGTTCATGGGTGTTAAATGGCTATCACTAAATCAAAGTTAAGACTAATTGTTGGAATTTTCCCTTAGAAATTAAGCAGATTTCTTGATTCTGTAAAGAAGAAAATTCCCTGGAAACAACCCAGGCTTTTCCTGTGTTGTTTTGCTTTGTTCTGATGATAAGCACTTCTAAGAAAAAGTATGGTAATTGCATTTGCCTGGATAATCTACAAACCCTAAATACATTTATTCATGGATATTAGCCTCTTGTCTAGTTCTGTGCATTCAAAGGTGGGAAAGGGTATCTCCTCCCTAGAAACTTCTACCCTGTGAGGCAGCTTTTATAGCACAATGTGCTTTTAGTAGTCTATATTTTGTCTGAGTTATACTTGTGTGAGTTGTTTCCTGGCAGGAAAGGAAAGACAACCCTAGGCTGAGGGTATAGATGACAGAATGCTTGCCTAGCATGTAGGAAGACCTAGGTTTAATTCACAGGACCACAAAAACAAAACATAAAAAGACAAACTTATGGAGCTGGTGACATACAACCTAAGGCTTAAAAATGGAGAAGATGAGATTTGGCATTCAAGAGGTTGTTTCTTAGCAATGGAAAGAATACTTTCCTGGTGTAGGGTGGTAGTGGGGAGCCAGATTGTAGACCGGGATGGACTCAGAGAGGAAGTGGAGTGAGCAATGTGAATTGCTGTTTCTTGAACCTGTGCCCAGAAATAGCCATCCCTTGATAGATTTGTATTTATCTCCAATAAACAGAATTCTAAATAAATCAATGTACCTCAAAATAATTATTTTTTGTTAATCTCTATATTTTTCTGTGATGAGGA